ACCACGAAACTTTTCGTCCAAGCAGCTCATTTTGCTTGGGGTTGCCTGCCAAGTTATCACCAACCCAATGGTGTCCCAAGACAGTCTTCCTCCTACTTGCCAGTGCTGAACATTGGCACAATATATGCACCGTCTCCTTTTCTTCTAGACATAGTCTGCAAGTGTCTTCCTCAGAAAGAGTTATCTTTTTGAGGTGATACTTGAAGTTACCATGTCCAGTAATTAGTGAGGTCAGCCAGCTTATGACTTTAGCCTGTCTACAAGTGCTCAACTCTCTCCATCTATTAAGACAAAGTGAGGTTATCCGCTTAAAGATATAGGCATCAATGGTATTCTGGGTTCTGGGCCGCAGAAGTTATGGCTTGATCCTTGCTTTACAAGTTCATCTGCCTTCTCGTTTTGCTCAATACCGATGTGTCCCTTAACCCACACGACCGTTACCTCATTTCTATGAGCACTTTCCATGAGCTTGGCTACACATTCTTGAACTAAGCTGTGTAAAAAAAAGTGTAAATAAAATGAGAGGAAAATCAATTAAACATCAACAAAATCCCATTTTTTGTAAATGAAAATGAAAAGATTACGACTCAACTGATATGTAATTGCAACAGTATAATGCAATATACTGTCGCTATCAGTTATTATTTCTGGACTAGTTGGGTGAGTTTCGAAAGTCTTGAATGTCAACGTGATTCCTAAACGACAGCTGTTGGCTGTTTTGTGAGTTGATACAAAAAAGAATAGCTGATGTAATAGCTGATAAAAAGGAACCTACAATGTCATATATCACACGATACAATCAATTAAGTGAGAGATAAATTCAATGATCGATTAATCTTCAGAAATATGGTTATATATTGGCCATCAATATCTTACAATAAAACTGCATTGAGCTATATCTATAGGTTTATATCAAATCATTGATTTACAACAATAAACCAGAAGAATTTAATTGCTTTGAATTATCAACATTATTCGAGCTGTGCTATAGATTTATATGAAAAAATTGCAAAAAATAAGCGTCCAAATTCAAGTTTTTAAAATAAATATTTTGGATTGCTCTACAATATTTTACTATATTTAATGATTTGAACATTTATTCCCATCAATTACGTATTTGATATAGATGTATGTTTGTACGTTTATTTAACATTAAAAGATTTTAAGTCATTTTTACTAGTTCAACATATATCATTAATGTAGAATAATGCGGTATATGGAAGCATTTAAATACTATGTGTATAAAATAAGATTAAAGTTCATTTATGTGCAAATATGTAAATATGTTTTTTAAAAAAATTCTTTAATTTTTTCTACTAAATAAAATATATTGAGTACTTTAATTATTTCCACTTTTAGCTTGCATTAACGTTATCCTCTTCGCTCCATTCATTCATTTGAAACTTTGACGAATTTGGCATATTAAATTTATTTCGAATCATTAAAAACTGATATAAAAAATACCATTTTTAGTGAAATATTTTATGATATATAAAATGCATTCAAATATTTAATCGCTGAACAAAAGAAGATTATGAATGCAAAATATTCAAAAATTTTCCAAACTTCTCACAATATAATCAGTATTAAGCATTTGTTTTGTGGAATTGTATATATGCTTGAAATTTGATATACTTAAGAGCATATATACATACGTTGATGGTTTAAAGTATTTTATGCACTATAACAACATAACATGCTTCTAGGATTAACTGAAATAATAACCATAGCAATCATAATTCCTCTTTATAAAATATATAAAAATATGCAATGTAACTTAATCATAAAATGTTTTCATTAAATAACATTTTTTTATGTTCCCATTCCCCTAAGCAGGGAGCTTTTGCATGTTCCCTTCTATGAAACACTTAGCGATATTTCCAGCATTAGCTTTTGGTTGGTTCTAATTTGACCATTCTTCTATCCGTTATTACTAGGAATACCGCAATCAAAATGGCTTTTTTAGTTAATTGAGGTGGATTAGTTCAACTAACTAAAAACATTTTTTTCGAATAATAGTTTAGTTTCATTTTTATATAAATTTTTTCTCTGTAATAAAATTTTTGTCGTGACTGTACAAAATCGGAAAAAAATTCCTTTCGAATGAATGAAATTAATATTGTAACTTTAGTATTTTTGATTATATTAATAAATACAAACCGATATATTAGTAAATAACTTCAACATGACACTCAGCACAAGTATGACTTCAAGATGAGTTCTTATAAACATTTAGGCTGAGTTATGGGTTGTATAGCTGGAAATC